AGAGAGAGAGAGATTTTTGTTTTTTATTTTCTTATCGAATTTACAACCACAATATAAAAATTTTATTAATTTTTTTATTAGTATTAATAGATATTTATAATAAAAAATAATACTATTTTTTATTTTATATATGCAATATAGATGTCAAATTAAACCTCGTGAAAAATGATTAATTGAATATATTATATATAAAAAATTGATAACAAACAAAAAAGTTATTCAGTTTTAAAAATTGTTGGTTTTTTGTTACAAGCAAAGTTTTAAAAAATAGAATGAGGGTGTGTTTGGTAAACCTAGCTGATAAGCTAGCTGATAGCTTATAAGCTAGCTGGTAGCTGATAAGCTATAAGCTAGCTTGTAGCTTATGTTTATAGCTGAAAAGCTAGCTTATATGATAAAAGTGTTTGGTAAAACTAGCTTATAAGCTAGCTGAAATAAAAAAGTCAACTAGCTTATTTTGAAACGCTACCTAAACAAGTTTATCAAATAAGCTCGAGCTTTTTAAATAAGCTTGTCCTACCAAACGAAGCTTATTTGATACAGAAAGCTTATAAGCTAACCAAATAAGCTATAAGCTAGCTTATTATACGTGTCAAACACACCCTGAGTGCATATTGCATCCGTTTTTTTTGGTAAACTGGTTTTTCGCAGTCAATTAATTATTTCATCTGATTTCGTGTCAATGCTAATCTTTTCTACATGATCGTATATATGCAATATTTTCTTATTCACGCGGCAAGCGTGTAAATTGGCCCAAATCAAAACCAACCATCCACCAGCTTTGAAGCCCATTTTGGGGAGGTCCAGCCCAACTCCTGCAGTTACAGGCCTTATTTATTAGGCCCGTGAAAACTGTGCATACATCCTAAATCCCTCTCCCTCATTGCTCATTCACGAACTTCTCATCGGCAGAGAAAATCATATCCCGGCTGATTGCCGGCCGTTCCAGTCTGCCACGGGTAAGCCCCTTTTCCGATTGAGCTATTTTTTTATTCTGTAATTTTGTATTTAGGTAAATTACTTGGTGTGATCCATGGTTTTATTTAATGGAAAATAAGCAGCTTTGATGATGATAGGTTCAAATCCTAATCCCTTTTTCTGGGCATCTCACTTCTGTTTAGGTATAAATCGATAAGCGGTTTTGCTATGAAGCCAACAGTTGGCTCTATAGTAGATTAATAAAATTGTATTAGTGTTATTTAATTTATCGGAAAATATGGTAGATTTACTTGTTGTATATAGAAGGTTGGCTCCACTATGAAGCCAACTGTTGGCTTTATAGCAAAACCGATTTCCGTAATCCCAATTGAACAATTGATGAAGCTCCTTCATTTAAGATTTGATTAAGGGCCCTGGTATAATTTAGCGGGACTGTGAATAGCATGCGATCAGTTGTTTCCATAGTTATATGGATAGAAGCACAGGCTTTCATGTTAGTGTATTTGTTTTCGTTACGAGCATTTATCATGCATCACCTCAGAAAATTATCCTCTAACAAGGTAAATGTAGTCTATGTATCGGTAATGGAGTCTTTCTTTTAGGACACTACTATGTAAGGACCTTCTTTCTCACCATTAGGTTGACTCAAGAATAAATATCAACCATTAGATTCAAGGCACGAGGGAGTACGAGGCAAAAAAAAA